AACCCAAAAAAAGTCAGAGTGACTTACGTATTTCCATTGGGGTCCTTTTATATTTACACTTAGCTTTACTTTTATCTCCATGGGGAAGTGGAACAGAATTCTTCCTCCGTAAGCCATGCGTGTTGTAAGAGGCAACTAAAATGCCGGGAGCACGGGGCTAGTAACCCTTTCTCCTGTATAAATTACTAAATTTAAAAAGAGAAACTTTTGTTTTTCTTTTTGGGCCACCCGCCTCGGTGGGATACGGCCGGTGTGTTGAATGAAAGAAAAGATTTACTTTTATACTTACACTTTTATATTTACACTTACGTTGAAGATGTTAGTTTAATTAGTTAATCTGATGGAGGAGATGCTGGCAGAGGTTTAGGGTGGTGGAAGATAGCAGGGCGGCGTATGTTCAGCAGTCCTACACACATGCAACAACATTGGAGAGTTATTTTCGTGTCGTTTTTCTATTGCTAACTCGCTTTACTTACTTGCTACACTGTTAATTCTACACTTTATCGCTGGCTGGCACTATAGCCTTTATCGATACTTGCTGCTTTAGTATCGTACATATCGTAGAATCACTGCAGAAGGCACATTCTCCCTCTCTCTTCCTCCTCCATTTTGGTACTTTGCTATGAGTTTTTCTTGAATTTTATTGTGTTTCTTTCCTTCTTTATCACTGGGCTGGCACTAGAAGCTTTCTTTGGGCTCATGGTGGCTTATTTAGCAGTTACAAGCACTAAAAACACTGGAATAATACAAAATATATTGCAGGTAAACGTGGAATGGTCCTCACTGGCTTTGTAAACAATGGCACGCTGGCTGGTACATGGAGTGAGTGGCTGGACCCGCTAAGGCCACGCGGACACGTTCAGGACAAAAGCCCTTAGCCGAGTTATTTGGCGTTATCTGAGCTAATATTTTTACGTCAAAGTGAGCCGTTAGCCAATTTTGGTGCTAGCTGATGAAGCCTTTACCCGAGGGTCCACTGTATATGTTCATTTTATGGATGACTAGAGAGCTACTTTTTGTTGTGGTCGGTCAAAAAACAATATTATTATTTATTTTGTGTGGTATGTCAGTTGATTAGCAGGTGGGGGAGGATAAAGAAGTGGTCAGTATGACTGGGTGGGATGGCAGGGGTGAAGAAGGGAGGTGCCAACGCAGCAATAGTGGGCCATGTTGTAGCCACATTCAGTGGGACAAGGTGCAAGATCACACACAACATCCTTCTTCACGATCGCCAGCAATACAACGCTTAGGTCATAGAGTCTCACTCCACCCGTCCTTACCATAGTAGCACTAATTCTCCAGGTCCCCGGAAATACACAGGCCTCTGTGCACAATGCAGTCACATCTCACTAGCGTCCTACGACTCTAGCTCATCCTTCACGCGTTCTATTAACCGATGCTGGATTTTGTTGACCCATCTGATCTCTAACTAACTACTATTATACCTCCCCCCCCCCCCTTTGTCTCCCTCCCCTTCTCTCTTCTCTCTCTATTCTCTTATCTCTCATCTCTCTCTCACCTTCTTAAATAGCATTTTGTTGCATATGCAACTGAAAAGACTCTTTTTTTCTTAACACGTTGGCCATCTCCCACCAAGGCAGGATGACCCAGAAAAGAAAGACACTTTCACCATCATTCACACATTATCACTGTCAGGGAGGATGCAAGGATGTCCAGGAAAAGCATGGATTAGTCAAGCCAATGGACACCCTTTTTTTATAGGTAAGTGTTTGATCAATAATTGTAAAGAACATTTCTAGAAATCTTGTGTGCATATGCAATATCTAGGAACCAAATATGATTTTAAACTAAGTAAAAATGAAAAGAATATAGACAATAACAAACTTCAAAGATTAAAAATAAATTAATGAAACTACAGCATGAGAGCAACTAAAGCAAATAAGAATGAATCACAAAATTGTAATGACACAATTGCAAATGGCTCTGAGGGGTCTTGAGCTAGAGTTCGTCACAGCCACACTGACGGGAGATTCATCTGTAAAAACTTGCATTTGTGGTCAAAGTGGTGTCTATGCTAACCTTCCTCTGGTCTATAAATATACCTAGTTGGATGACTCTTATTGTAGCTAGCTATCCCAATGGATAACACGTCGGTCTGGAGTTTTACGACTCACTCACCGCAAGTTCAATCCCCACCTGTACAGTGGTTTAAATAAGAGTGAAGTTCAGAGATGCAAGGATAAAACATTTAAAGATGCACTGAAATGTAAATACTTGCAATATGATTGGGAAACAATGCCAACCTGCAGAACAAAAATTAAATACATAGCAAAAAATTTAAGGCTTTCATGATTACAAAGCAGTAAGGTAGAACTGTAATTTTTGCAAAATTATGGAGAATTTTTGATATAACAAAAATACTTTTTCTACACAGAAATGACTGTGAAGTTTGAAATCTTTAAGGCACGAATGGACAATTATTGAAAAGTGTAATGAGTTTCTACAAAGTAAGTATTATATGCATGATACTGGATAGTATAAAAAAGTGGTCCATGATAAACATGGGAGTACAGCAAGACTGTGAATTATTCCACAGCTTTTTCTAGACTCTATATTCATGGATTGGATTAATATTATATAAGATGACTGTGGCATGAGGTTACATTAAGTTGCTGCAAAAGGGAAACTGCCATTGATGTTCAATATTTAACTGATATTAGTAAGGTAATTATTCCTATAAGAATGGTGAACTCTGTTGAAGTGCTGCATGTATGCAGACAATGTTGGAATCTAAGACATCTTCATATTTTTAAAGGCTAGGTAATTTCAGTTAATTTGCCTAAAATTCTGTGCACATAGTGTGGTACTTTGAGCTCCACAGAATATACCTCATCCAACTACCTTTTACAGTGGTCCCTCAATAATCGTCCGGCTCGATAGTCGTCCTTTTCGGAAATCGTCGCATTATTTTCGTCCAAACATTGGCTCGCAAATGGTCAGTTGACTCACTAATCGCCCTTTGTCCGCGACGCGTACTCACGCTCTGAGCCGCCTCGCCCTACCTTCCCAGCCAGTGTGCCATTGTTTGCCAGTGAGCGACGGTCCCCTCACTTGTTCATGCGAAATATTTCATAATATTCCATTCATTTTAGTGCTTGCAAGTGTTAAATAAGCTACCATGGCTCCAAAGTGCCAAGCCTTTGGTAAAGAAAGTGAGAAATACAACTGAATTTAAGAAAAACATCACTGAACAATATGAAAGTGGCATACATGTGGCCAAACTGGCCAAGATGTATAACAAATCCTGTACAACCATATCTTTCATCGTGGCCAAGAAAAAGGAAATCAAAGAAGCTGCTGTTGCAAAGTGGGTAAATATGCTGACAAAAATGAGATCACCAGTACTCGAAGTTGTTGAGAAGTTATTATTGGTGTGGATAAACGAGAAACAATTAGCAGGAGATAGTCTTATGACAGATTATTTGTGAAAAATCTAGGCAGTTGCATGACGATCTGGTAAAGAAATTGCCTGCAACAAGTACTGATAACTGTGAATTTAAGGCCAGCAAAGGTTGGTTTGAGAGATTTAAGAAGCATAGTGGCATACACAGTGTGATAAGGCATGGTGAAATGTGGGGTAGGATGGAAAGATTTATGGAGAAAGATCACCCTGAGAAAGATGTTGCAAGCCATATCGGCAACTTGTACAGTGACAGAGTCTTGGCCCATTTTAAGGAAGTTTTAAAGAGACGCCAGAAACAGAGCTCTTTGGACAATTTTTTTGTGAGACAGGACTCCAGTGACTCTCAAGCTGGTCCTAGTGGCATTAAGAAACAGAGAAGAGAAGTAACCCCAGAAAAGCAATTGGTACCCGAGGTGTTGATGGAAGGGGATTTCCCTTCCAAACAGTAACTAATCCAATCTCTCTCCTCCTCCAGTCTTCCATACACTAAGAAGAATCGCCAATAAAGGTAAGAGTTATGCTGTTAATGTTTCATTCATCATGTCCCATTGTATTGTTTATGTACTACATCTATATTTCATGTAAAAAAATTTTTGTTTTAATACTTCTGGGCGTCAGGAACGGATTAATTGTATCTACATTATTTCTTGTGGGGAAAATTGATTAAAAAATCGTCTATTTCGATAATCGTCACACTTCCAGGAACGGATTAACAACGATAAATGAGGGACCACTGTAATCTAAATTCATAACAAATGTCTGTATACTTCACCAAAAACCTGCACTTAAGAGAGAATAAACATTATTATTAATTATATAATATTAATATTAAATAATTAAATCTTACTTTGTATGAGAAAGAATGGGAAATAGCAGATTTATATAGCTGTTAATCATGCTTACAAAAATGTCCATAAAACTAGAAAGAGAATTAACTTAATCTTGGTAGTAAAATATGTAACTCAGTCTTAGTAGTAAAATGTCTGACTCAGTCTTGGTAATAAAGTGTTTGACTTAGTCGTCATTGCAATGTTCCTCTGTGAGAAAAGTTCTCGTCCAATAAACTGGCACATATCTTTGCCACACTTACCTTCATGCATGCTGCTGCACTATCATTTAGGAATGAATGATTTCAGTTTTTTATATACTATATGCAATTAAATACAATGATTCTTGTCCATCAAGAGGAAGCCATGTTTTAATACTAAAGCTCACTTAGTATAAACACTTAATATGGCCTATTTAACTTCAGTGAATGGTTAAAATTTCAGTTTCATTATTCATGAGACAGCCAAACTAAGATTCAACTATTTAAATAAAATATCACTAGATGAGCTTCTTGGCATTCAAAACACAGAGGTAGAAATGGAGAGTTTTTAAATTTTTACATTCCACTGTGTACTGAAGAACTGGGAAATTGGGAAATATTGGTAATTCGTTCATTATAACGATCAAACTCGAATGCACATTTATTTAAAATAATAGTGGTTTGTAGTTAAACTGCAGGGGTTTGAAATGGAATTTTTCAAATATTTTATACAATTCCAACTGGTACTGAAGAACTGGAGAAAAATTGGGAAATATTTAAATATTTTTCTTTAACACATCGGCTGTCTCCCACCGAGGCAGGGTGACCCATAAAGAAAGAACATCCCCAAAATGAAAGAAAATACTCTCATCATCATTCAACACTTTCACCTCTCATACATAATCACTGTCTTTGCAGAGGCGCTCAAATACGACACTTTAGAAGTCCCTCCAAACTGCCAATATTTGAATATAAATAGTAAATACAAATGCTGGTACAGCAAAACCTTTTCAGTGGACTTCTCTTTACAACAGTGCAATGCTTCTCAACACTTGCACAAAGAGGCATATCTAGCACAAACAATGTATTTGTTAAGTTCACCAATATAAACTAAAAATAAAAATTCTTGCTTCATTATACAGCAGAAAAATTCTCACATCTTATGATTATAATTACTGTCTTAAAACAAACTTTATGCGATAATGCACTCATTTACATAATGTAACAGCTAAAAGAGACTGGGCTATTATTCCTCTTAGAAAATTTTACACTAAATGTTCGTATACTGTTCCTTCTAAATGTTATACATTTTAAAATTGAATGGCATTCCTTGTCAGTTGCAAAACATTTCCAACAAATGACATCCCACAAACAATATAAAAAGTAATATAAATTCAACTTTTTAAGTTATCTTGGATCCATATGTACCAGAAGGTGGGCGATACTGACGAGGAAACATTGTTAAGTTAATAGCAGAAAAGGCATACTTGCGTGACCCAATGTTCTTCTGACAATTTTCTAATCTTGTCCCTTCACTGGAACAAAAAGAAATGCAAGAACTATACTGTTAAGCCTATAAAAAAGTAATTGAGTACATGCTTAAGGCTTATACCAGATCCTAATTTAAGGGGATAGAGATGATAATATCTACTTGCAAGATTGCATCCATTTGCCATTATACCATTAAGAAAATAATAATTATCAACATTTTGGCTTACCAACAAGGGAACAGGCTGAGTACACAAGTGAACTAAAACCAGCAATACTGAGTAATAATATAGAATAAAAAAGTTTAAAAACACCTGCTATCTCCCACCAAGGTAAGGTGACACACACACACACACACACACACACACACACACACACACAAAAAACACAACAAAAACACAAAAAACAACAAACCAAAAAAAAAAAAAAACATATTTACCATCATTCATTCAATAGCTATCCAGAATTCTATATACTTTACAATTCAAATGACTCTCCAAATCATAAAATGGTTAATTCCTAATAACTAAGATTAAAATTACTTAAAAAATGACACTTTATTAGCATGATACAGAAACTATCAAATATAGTGGGCCTGCTTACGACTACTTTTATCACTACCATAGTATGGTTCAGGTGCGTACAGTACCGGAATTAATCTCCTATAAGGAAACTTGTAAAGTGTAGATTTATTCCTTTCAAACCCCACAAAGAATCTCTTAAAAGCACTTTACATAAATAGCTTACATTAATTGACGCATTCGGAGCTAATCAGTTTTAGGAAATCCAATGTATATGAGGCCTTGCTTTAGGACACTATCACTCTAACTGCAATTTTCCTCATAACAACGGCTTTTAAAATGGCTAATTTAAAAGGTTCGATCTTACACCCGATAGCTTGAACTAACGCGTATAAGAACCCCTCCTGTATAAGTGCTCAAAACATTCTATATCAGTATCAAACCACACATTTTAAGAAGTTTGCTTAAATAGCAGCTTTAGGTAAATGACTTACGAGTTCAATTAGAACTGCATGTCTGAAGCAAATAAGTTGAAGAAAATTTAAAAGTATAAAAACTTTAGGAACATCCATGAGGCTTGTACGACCTAATGGCAACAAAGGCAGTCCTAAGCTGACCAATGTCGCACCCTCATGGAACTAACTCCTTTTAAAATCAGGCTCAATTAAGTCTCAGATACTTACCCACCACTGATTAGTCTTGAGTTCAGGTGTAATAAAGTAACCCCTCCCCTCCCCGATTAAAATGGTCAAATTTTTTTTTCAACATGTCAGTCGTCTCCCACCAAGGCAGGGTGATGCAAAAAGAAAGAAAATCCCCAAAAAGAAAATACTTTCAGCATCATTCAACACTTTTACCTCACTCATACATAATCACTGTCTTTGCAGAGGCACTCAGATACGACAGTTTAGAAGTCCCTCCAAACTGCCAATATCCCAACCCCCCCCCTTTAAAGTGCAGGCACTGTACTTCCCATTTCCAGGACTCAGATACTAACCAGTTTCCCTGAATCCCTTCACAAAATGATTACCCTGCTCACACTCCAACAGATCGTCAGGTCACAAAAAACATTCGTTTCCATTCACTCCTAACATGCTCAGGCACGCTTGCTGGAAATGCAAGAACCTCACCCACAAAACCTCCTTTACCCCCTCCCTCCAACCTTTTTGAGGATGACCCCTACCCAGCCTTCCTTCCCCTACAGATTTATATGCTCTCCAAGTAATTCTACTTTGATCTATTCTCTCTAAATGACCGAACCATCTCAACAACCCCTCTTCAGCCCTCTGACTAATACTTTTATTAACTCCACACCTCTCCTAATTTCCATACTTTGAATTCTCTGCATAATATTTACACCACATATTGCCCTTAGACAGGACATCTCCACTGCCTCCAGCCGCCTCCTTGCTGCAGTATTTGCAACCCAAGCTTCACACCCATATAAGAGTGTTGGTACCACCATACTTTCGTACTTTCCCATCTTTGCCTCCATGGATAACATTTTTTTGTCTCCACAGATACCTCAATGCACCACTCACCTTTTCTCCATCAATTCTATGTTTAACCTCATCCTTCATAAACCCATCCACTGATGAGTACTCCCAAATATCTGAAAACATTTACTTCTTCCATACTCCCTCTCTCCAATGTGATATCCAATTTTACTTTATCTAAATCATTTGATAGCCTCATCAACTCACTCTTATCTATGTTCACTTTCAACTTTCTACCTTTACACACACTCTGAAACTCCTCCACTAACCTTTGCAACTTTTCTTTAGAATTTTCCAAAAGCACAGTATCATCAGTAAAAAGTAACTGTGTCAACTCCCATTTTGAATTTGATTCCCCATAATTTAATCCCATCCCTCACCCCAACACCCTAGCATTTACTTCTTTTATAACCCATCTATAAATATGTTAAACAACCACAGTGACATTACACATCCCTGTCTAAGACCTACTTTTACTGGGAAGTAATCTCCCTCTCTCTACACACACTAACCTGAGTCTCACTATCCTCATAAAAACTCTTTACACATTTAGTAGCTTACTACCTATTCCATACACTTGCAACATTTGCCACATTCCTCCTCTATCCACTCTATCAGATATATGCCTTTTCTAAATCCATAAATGCAATGAAAACTTCCCTACCTTTATCTAAATACTGTTCACACATATGCTTCAATGTAAACACTTGATATACACATCCCCTACCCACTCTAAAGCCTCCTTGCTCATCTACAATCCTACTCTCTGGATTACCTTTAATTCTTTCAATAATAACCCCAATGTACACTTTACCTGGTATACTCAGAAAACTTATTCCCTATAATTTTTACAATCTCTTTTGTTCCCCTTCCCTTTATATAAAGGAACTATACATGCTCTCTGCCAATCCCTAGGTACCTTCCCTTCTTTCATACATTTATTAAACAAAAACACCAACCACTCCAACACTATATCCCCCCTACTTTTAACATTTCCTTGATGATCCCATCAGTTCCAGCTGCTTTACCCCCTTTTCATTCTACGTAATGCCTCTCACATCTCCCTCACACTCACATCCTGCTCCTCTTCGCTCCTAAAAGATGTTGTACCTCCCTGGACAGTGCATGAAATTATTGACTCCCTTTCTTCATCAACATTTAAAAGTTCTTCAAAATATTCCCACCATCTACCTAATACCTCCAGTTCCCCATCAACTAACTCCCCTACTCTGTTTTTAACTGACAAATCCATGCATTCCCTAGGCTTCCTTAACTTGTTTATCTCAACTATTCCTGCATTATTTCTCACTGGGTTTTTCCTGCTCTAACCCAAATTCTGTTTCTCTCTCTTCTGTTGGAACTTTATCTCTTTCACCTCTTCTACTACTGCCAGAGCAGGTGGTGGCAGCATACATTCTTAATTCAGAAATTGAACCCTACCTTTCTTTTCTCTCAAATTCTAGTTATTTCTTCTTTTTATTTGTTTTCTGCATTTTTATATTTCAGTCCACTCTGAGTCTCTGCCTGTGCGAATAGAAACAATATGCATTGTCTGGTGCTCTGTCAACCCTGGACAGAGGACTACAAATATCCTTTCAGACATCCCTGAACTTTAAGAAACTGGTATGGTGGAATGGGTAAGATGGCATGATCCAAGATGACATTATGTCACAGGATCATAAATGTGAAGCCTACTTGGTGCTACTAGAACTTTTTTTTCTTTTTTACCACATTAGCCATTTATTATCCAGGTAGGATTACCCAAGAAGTGCATAGACATCACAATTCCAATGGCCTCTGAACTGCGACCTCCCTACCCTTCCATCAAAATGCAGGTACTATACTTCCCCCTCTCAGCAGCCTCAAACTAGTAGAGAAAAGCAATAGGCAAAATTCTCAAGTTTTATCTGTACAGCTTACAGTAGAAATAAACATGCAATCAGAGATGTAAGATTATCCTTCACAGTATCTGATACACTGGTGAGGAATATTCCTTCACAGAGTCCCAGAAATCAGTAAGTGTTCCAGAGGTACAAAGAGAAAGCATGATAATATATGCACTTGAACAATTTACATACAGAAGAGAGCTGTCAATCACTAAGAAAATCCACAGTGTACCATGAAAAGAAAACCTAAGAGACAATGACTCTATCCTGCTGATTTTTATTGAACCTGCCCAGTAGGGTACCATCTGTTTAAACCCTACAAGATGAGGGAAGGCTGAAGAAGGTGAAACCATAAACTCTGAAGATCATCCCCAGATATCACAATGAATGGGAACAGTAAAGAACAACTGAGCAGAGGATGTACACCTAAAATACTGTATATCTAAACTACTACAGCCTGAAGGGTAGTGTAGCCAAGGTGCATGCATGTTGGGTCAGTCAGTCATCATGGTAAAGTACAAGATTATTGTAGAGTGAATTCATGGCAAACTGCTTAACCTAAATGTACAAAATTTCAAATGCAAAAATTTATGAATATCAAAAATATCTAGGATATCACAATGAATTACAACTGTGCAATCAATTATCATAATAAACTTAATGAATGCTCTTTTCACTTACCTTCTCATGCAGTTGAGAGCACGCTGAAATTCTGTTTCAGCTAAATCATATTCCGCTGCCAAAATGTTAGCTTGCTCTAGTGTGGAACTCATTCCTGTACGATCCTTTCCACTTTTACAAGAGGTGAAGCGAAGACCTAAATATAATGTAATAATAAGAAAAAACAGTATATGGAAACTGCTTTTTAACTTTTTTTTTTTTTTTTTTTTTTTAACAAGTCGGCCGTCTCCCACTGAGACAGGGTGACCCAAAAAGAAAAAAATCCCCAAAAAGAAAATACTTTCATCATTCAACACTTTCACCTCACTCACACATAATCAATGTTTTTGCAGAGGTGCTCAGAATTCAACAGTTTAGAAGTATATACGTATAAAGATACACAACATATCCCTCCAAACTGCCAATATCCCAAAAGCCCTCCTTTAAAGTGCAGGCACTGTACTTCCCATTTCCAGGACTCAAGTCCGGCTATATAAAATAACCGGTTTCCCTGAATCCCTTAACTAAATATTACCCTGCTCACACTCCAACAGCTCGTCAGGTCCCAAATACCATTCCTCTCCATTCCCTCCTATCTAACACGCTCACGCATGCTTGCTGGAAATCCAAGCCCCTCACCCACACAACCTCCTTTACCCCTTCCCTCCAAACCTTTCGAGGACGACCCCTACCACGCCTTCCTTTCCCTACAGATTTATACGCTCTCCATGTCATTCTACTTTGATCCATTATTAGAAAAACAGTGAGTAAAGTGCACAAAATAAATCTTATGCAGCAAATTGACCTTGTTTAGAAAAGAATGCACTTCTACCAGAAATTTCTGTTCTCCAAATGATAAGAAGCCCAGTTTAAAACAAAATTGAACTAATACATGTGATTATTCTGAGTACTTACACATACACTTGCACACATTAGAAAATATTTCTTCACAAACAGAGAGGTACACTGTTTGACTGGGCACTAAGAGGTAACAAAATGCCCACAAAAATAAACCAGACCTCATTCATTATGAAAATCATTAAAAAGTAACAATATAAACATTATAGAACAAAAACTGTTGTACTTGGTACTTATATTAATATTCTGTCACCTTCCCCTTGGTCCTGATGACCATTTGAAGCACTTTTGGGCATGCTGACACTTAGATTCCTGAAGTATTCAATAGATAACTGGTTGGCCCAAATGTCCTTGATCCACTGTTGTAGGCATGACATGGATGAAATGTGGCAGGATTCCCTCTTTTTTCATGACATTTCAGGGATTCTCATTACGACTGAGGTCTGAATTATTTCCTGGTCACTGTAAAGCCTCAGTATTTTTCTCAAAATGCCACTTGGTTACTTTTTTGGCCTTGTGACAGGGCACTATCATGTATAAAGGTGGTGCAGCTGTGAATTACAGCAGGTGGTCCTTGAGAGCGGTGATGCATTGGTTGGCATTCATTACAACATTTTGGGAAGTGCAAACCCCCATAACCAAGTAAAATACTAAAGCAACCCCCAAACCATGATAGATTGTGGGTGCTTATCAGTGCTCACTGTGTATGCAGGGTTGTACCTGCTGATAGAGGAGAGGTGTCTCACCCTGCTTTGACATCCTTGAATGCAGTGAAATGTGGATTCATCTGACCACATGACTTTTTTTTGAGTCATTAACACTCCAATGTGCATATTTCCTGGAAAACTGCTGGCATTCCTTCTTTATATGGGGCATGAGTAGGGATTTCCTTGCAGCACGATGACTTGGCAGGCAAAAGTCCTTCTGCAGGTGGTGATGGATGCACCAAATCAAGGATGCATTTTTTTGAGCAGAGATGTAGTCATATGTGGGTTTCTACATAGTTTTCTGCTTAGAATGTTTTGTGTGTGTGTGTGAAGGCTTACTCAGCCCTGTAACAACTTCAGTCAGTATTACTCAGGCTGGCTCCTCCTCAGGAAAATTAGTGAATAGAAAAAGAAATAATAATAGACAAACATAAACACTTTATTATATAGAAAATATAAAATCTAAAACACTTAAATATGAAATATTAATCCTACATTAAAGAAAATGAAAAATGAAAAATATAAATGATAACTGAATTCAACGCTAGTATGTATATGGGTGTCTGGTGCTGGTGACACTGTTGTTGAAATCGTAGCCGTTGCTGATGATGGGGGGGGGGTCGCAGGTGTTGGTGACCACCACTGGCTAGTTCTTCACAGAGAATCGCCGTGATTATTATCCCGATGACAGGAAAGCAGGTTCTTTACCGCTGCAATGATGTGAGGTTATGTCCTGCAATTTCATACAGGTGCACAGGTACTTAGATCCAAAATGGGGAAGTCTCTGGACGTTAGTCCTTCTCCTGTTCTTCTCGTTGATTGACAGGTGACCCTCACTGTCATCCAAGATGAAAAGATAGACAGGTTACCCACTGCTTAAATAATCACTCTCCATGGCAGTGCACATTACTCAAAAGACGTGGTGATTATTACAACAGTAAACCTAGAGCAAGACTGAAAGGACTAAGTTTATTATTGGTCAAAAGTGAAGCTTTTAACCAATAAATCCACTAGAATACAAGGCAGGCATGTACTTACAGAAGTGTTGGGAGCTGTGAGTTGAGTGATTTACTGTTTGACCAGAGCCCCACACGTCACCTTTCGGGGGGAAGAGGGAGGGGAAGGGATAGCGGGAGCTAGACTGACCCTACCTTAACAAGCAGCCGGCAGTCAAACTATCACTTTAGGGGTGGGGGAGAAAAGGCGGGAAAAACGGGAGCGTGACTTACCCTACCTTAACTAGTAGCCGGCAATGAAACTATCACTTTCGGGGAGGGGGAAGAAAGGCGGGAGCGTGACTTACCCTACCTTAACTAGTAGCCGGTAATGAAACTATTGTTACTATATTGCTACTCCTATCTATTGAACTTTTCCCTCACAGTGTGTGTGTGTGTGTGTGTTTGTTTTTTAGTTGGCCTCCTTGGCCATCCAGTATGAGGTTTTGTAGTGACAATGACATCTGATGGGAGAAGACAGGTGGCAGAAAGTAATGCCATTACGCTGGACTTTGCTTGTCCAGTAGGATGACAAATTTCCTTTATAGCGACTTTTTCTTGTCTCCAAACCAGTATAAAAACTTTTCCTCATTATTTAACACTGAATGACCCATATTTATCCACTTGACACAAAACACAGCTCCAAATCCTGGGCACTTGGGGATAGAGCACTGCAATAGAACATCTTATCTCACTGCCATATGCAGAAAGGTGATACATACTGCATTCTCTTGTATTAACTCAAGAGTTGACAGAAAACATTCAGATAAAGTATAGCATCGAATACACAACATGAATCTGAATCACTTTATACTGTTTATGATGGAGGCTGCACCACCTTAATGCATGATAATACCCCCTGTCACAAGTGGCTTGCTGAAAAAAATATTGAGGTTTTACAGTGGCCAGGGAATAATCCAGAACTCGATCCAATTGAAAAAGCCTGGAATATCATAAAAAAGACAGAATCCTGCCGCACTTCATTCACATTACGACTGCAGCAGATCAGGGACATTAGGGTCAACCAATTATCCATTGATTACTTTAGGGATCCGAGTGAAAGCATGTCCAAATGGCTTCAAATGGTCAAGGCCAAGGGGGAGATGATTAAATATTATTGTAAGTTTATACTGTTGCTTTTTTAATGATTTTCACAATAAACAGATAGTCTGGATTATCTTTGTATGTGCAACTACTATAGGACACTTAAAATATTATAGTACATAAAACTAACTCAGGGAGCAAGGGGCTAGTAACCCCTTCTTCTGTATACATTACTAAAATTAAAAAGAGAAACTTTTGTTTTTCTTTTTAGGCCACCCTGCTTCGGTGGGATACGGCCAGTTTATTGAAAGAAGAAGATAACCAAACGCTGATGGCAGATACCACCAGCATTAAAAAAAAAAAAAAAAAAAAAAAAAAAAAAACATACCATGGGTGGGAACAGAACCCACAATCAGAGAGTCATAAAACTCTCTGATTGCGGGTTCCATCCCCGCCCGTAGTATGGTTTACCACCAGCATAGCTCTACTGCACTATAAATAAGTATGTATTTAGTTACAAATGAGTAATTACACATCTGAAAGTTCATGTTCATTTTTAAAAGTAGATTTTTTAACACAATGTCCATCTCCCACTGAGGTAGGGTGACCCAAAAAAAAGAGAAAACATTCACAATCATTCACTCAATTGCTGTTTTTCCAGAAGTGTCCTAACATCACAGTTCAGATGATCCTCTGAACTGCAATATTCCCACTCCTCCTCATGAGTGTAGGCACTGTACTTCCCACCTCCAGGATTCAAGTCCAGCTAACCAGTTTCCCTGAATCCCTTCATAAACATTACCTTGCTCATACTCCAGCAGTACATCAAGTCATTAAAGTCACTTGCCTTCACTCACTCCTAACACGCTTACATATGCTCATGAATACTCATCCATGTCAAACTGACTTCATTTACAGCATGTATAATTTCTTGCTCACGCTAACTAACTAAACCTAAATGAATCCTTAATTAGCGTGTTTTATTGAATAACTGAATACCTACAATATAGTATAAACTAAGTATTCTTATTCTCTTGTAGTATGTGTGTCTTACTGTCTACTATTTATAAGTTAGTTTTAAGGTTGCCTGAAATGCTTTACATAACAAGAGACTTTAAATAAAGTAGTTTACACACATCAATTACCCTAATTGTATACTGTACAGTACTACACTTTATAGAAATAAAATGTGTTTGTTTGTTTGTTTGCTTTGTTTGTATGTCTGTTCTCCATACCTATCAGAACCCAGCTGCTCTCTTACTATTCCTTGTGCAAACCCTCACATATGGGTATGTCAGTGCTCTCTGTCATTCCTTGGCGAGTTTTTTCCGTAGAACCAAACCACAACACATGATAATTAAAGATGACCATGGTGACTAACAAGGACAATGATGGAAGTGTCAATAAGGACATACTAAAGTAGTGCTAGCAAGAACAACCATGATAGTATTAACAAGAACAACCATGATAGTATTAACAAGAAGAACCACAATAGTATTAACAAGTGCAATCATGGTAATATTAACAAGGATAATCATGGTAATATTAACAGGGACAACCATGGTAATATTAACAGGGATAACCATGGCAATATTAACAGGGACAACCATGGTAATATTAACAGGGATAACCATGGCAATATTAACAGGGAAAAACCATGGTAATATTAACAAGGACACACTAGTAAAAGCAGATAGCCATCTAAGGTATATGTGCACAAACTTTCTATATGAAAAATCTGAATTTTTCTAAAATGTGTCATTTTGTTTAGTTTATAAAAAAGGTGAGTACATTTGAGTGCTTACCTGCCATTGCACGACAGCACTGAGCAGCCAGGTAGAGGACACTTGGGTTCTTGCTTCTCTGAGACATCACTTCTACGCCTAGTTTGTCTATGAGATCCACCAGAGGAACCTCACTTCCCATGGATGCCACTCCTGAGATCAATCTTCATTATTAGAATTCAATTTCATTAACTGTAAACTACAAGTTAACTTCTTGTACAATATCCAGACCATCAACAAATTAAAGTCTACATGAGGACATGGCAACGATTGTTGTAGTAGGCGAGTGACAAACTAGGGCTTAACCCTTTCAGGGTCGGCAGGCCCTCTCCCAAACCTGTTCTCAGGGTCTGTAAAAATTTGAAAAAAGAAAAAAAAAAATTTTTCTTATGAAAAGATAGTTTTTTTTCTGAATTTTATAGGCTAAACAAAAAATGTTTACCATCAATACTTACCGAGATATGGAGGCGTGAAGCTGACAAAAAATGACCGGCATATGGTAACATCGCCGACTGCCGGTCACCCAGTATTACTTTATTTATTTTTTTAGGTACTATTTTCTATTATTTTTTAATTTTTTTTTCCAAGTAACTTTTATGGCCTGTGAGACCAATGAGCACTATTTTGTAAGTTATTTCTTTTTCTATACTACACAATAACTGCATAAACACTGTTGTCACTGTTTTGTTTACAAAACATATTTACACAAACGAACAATACAAAATGTCGTTTATTACTATTTTTCTATATTTTATATACACATATACAGTCACAGGACATGTTTTTAGAAGTTCTGCAGCCTGTGGAAGTCTTTGAAACATGGTGTCATGCACAATGGTGTTTTACGCTCCTCACACATAAAACGAGTGTCTCTGCATTGTTGTGGGCATTTTTTTGTATGTGCACAGACGTAACACCTCTTCTGAGCCTTTTTCTTGAAAGCAGTAGCAGGCAGTTTTGTGAGGAAGTGATCACCATGCTTCAGACGAGAAGGTACTTGTTGATAATTACGTGGGCAGTTTTCTATTGCAGGTGCTGTTCCTTGGTACAGTAGGGCCCCACTTATACAGCAGGTTAGGTTCCAGGCTACCGCCGTAAAGCAGAAATCGTCGTAAAGTGGAGCACCCTTTTTTCCCCTTATAAATGCATACAAATGCTAGATAACAACTTTACACTAACATATATTAAGTTAGCAATAGAACTAAGCATCAAAAAAGCAATAAAAAGTACAATACACACACAGTGCACTCATTACTTACCTTAAAATATTTATAGTCTTAATCTAGGGTGAGACAAGTAGTATTTATTGTAAGAAATCAAGTGTGGTATGTATGGTAGTCAGCCGGACTACCATACCAGGCCATCCCACCTACACATAATATTCTATTACATTTAAGCATCCCAGAGCGATAAAATGCATATACAGTTTACTCATTACTTACCTTAAAATATTTGCAGTCTTAATGTAGGGTCAGGAGTGAGTAAACGAGATAAAACAAATAAATGAGAGAGAGAGAGAAGAGAGAAGGAGAGAAGGAGAGAGAGAGAGAAGGAGAGAAGGAGAGAGAAGGGAGAGAAGGAGAGAGAGAGAAGGAGAGAGAGAAGAGAAGAGAGAAGGAGAGAGAGAGAGAGAGAAGGAGAGAGAAGAGAGAGAGGAGAGAGAGAGAGAGAGAGAGAGAGAGAGAGAGAGGAGAGAGAGAGAGAGAGAAGGAGAGAGAGAGAAGAGAGAGAGAGAAGGAGAGAGAGAGAGAAGGAGAGAGAGAGAAGGAGAGAGAGAGAAGGAGAGAGAGAGAAGGAGAGAGAGAGAAGGAGAGAGAGAGAGAGAGAGAGAGAAGGAGAGAGAGAGAGAGAGAGAGAGAGAGAGAGAGAGGAGGAGAGAGAAGAGAAGAGAGAGAGAGAGAGGAGAGAGAGAGAGAGAGGGAGGGGGGGGAGGGGGGGAGGGGGGAGGGGGGGAGGGGGGCAGGCGCAGAGTTATGTAAACAAACCAGGGGGACATAAGTTTTGTAAACAAAGTGTACATGTCTGGTTTATATACAAGTTGTCTCTACATTGATACGGTAGAATAAATAAAGAATAACACTCCCATTCTCATGTAACACCATTTTTAGAAGAAATGGCACTCTGAGTGTAGGCAATGGAAATAAGTCACCCTTTCTGACTTTTTTGGGTTATCTTAGGTTCTCAACACACATGCTGTTATGTATGATAATCTATGTAAATGTATTTGTGTATACCTGAATAAACTTACATACAAACGAAAGTAATAATTTTCTACAGTTATCCCCAGTAACACATTTTCTCTTACGTTAGACTAGAGAAAATGTTATTCTTGCCATCACTTGTGCAAGTTATCTGGCTACAACATCTCATATTTATGTTTATTTATTCTATTGTGGGGTGTATTTATCATCTTTATATGTTATGTATCATGTTTATTATATAATTTTGAAAAAAAATATCATGGATGGATTAATGAAAATGTGTATATTAACGTAATATACGACATTTAAATGAGACTCGGTGATTATTATCATCATTACTAATATGACATCTGGAGACATAAGACACTCTTACTGAAAAAACCATACCACAGGCGAGATTTGAACCCGTGGTCAGAGAGTCTCAAAACTCCAGACCGTCGTGGTATGGTTTGTTTGCAAATGTGTCATTACGATTTCGTGAGTCACACTCTTACTGATTTTAATGTGTACCTGCATGCCAGCACAGTGTTTAAGTTTATTTAGGTACAGGTAAACATAAGTATAATTATCAGAGTATATATAAAATATGAAATAACTTTTAAAAACGCTTGAAATTTTGGAGTTTCCAGACAAAATGGAGAGACTTAGTGCTTACGGATCTCACAGAGAATGTAAACAAACAGGGTGGGGCGCGGTGACCATATTAGAAAGTCAGGTGGGGGGAGCCGTATAGCAAGTTTTGGTCATAATTTGAAATGACTGTATTAGCGGAACACTGTAAAGCGAAACGCCGTAAAGCGGGGCCCTACTGTACTTGATTATTATTTGTCTGACGACAAACAAAATTCGCCATATGGTGGTTTGTTTCTGGTCCTCATCTATATATAAGCATTGAGCATGGAAATGTCCAGAAGATGGAAAAAGAGTTTTATGTACCACTTATAACTCTTGTGAACACAATCAGCAAACCCAATCTGCATGTCACATTTGTCCAATGAATGCATATTGAGGGTGTAGTCAATCACAGCTGCAGGTTTTAGAATGGGTTCATTGCTTTCTCTATGCTGCCTGCCAGAGTCTGCCATTTCATTAGGGTGAACCGATGACAACATAGTGATATCTCGTTTGTCATGCCACCGAAATGCCATGATGTCATTGGCAGCAAAGGCTTGCACCTCACCTCTACGAGTGCCAGTGTCAAACCTGGGCATATGTTTACGATTTGCACACACTGTGCCACACACATCTGTCATGTTCACTCACAAGAAATCACTGAGTAAGGGGCTTGTGTACCAGTTGTCAGTATACAAAGTATGTCCCTTACCAAGATATGGTTCCATCATTGTTCTAACCACATCACCGGAGATACCCAGTAACTTCCTAGTATCTCGTAATGTATTACTTCCAGTGTACACAATTATATCCAATACAAGACCACTGTAACAATCACAAAGCACAAACAATTTTATACCAAAGCGTTTCCTCTTGCTTGGTATGTATTGCTTGAATGAGAGTCTTCCTTTGAACAGAATCAAAGACTCATCAATAACAGCTTCCTGAAGGGATAAAAATGCATACTGAATTTCTGTTTCAGATACATGAACACATTCCTAATCTTATATAACCTGTCGTTTCTGTCAGGCCTGGTTTTGTCTGAGAAGTGAAGCATACATAATAGTAGCACAAATCGATTCACTCCTATTATATCACTGAAACCTGGGGTTGCAATCAGGTGGTCTGTTGACCAGTATGATCTCACACTGTGCTTGTACACATATGGCATAAACATTATTGTGGCAAACAAAAGATACATCTCAGCCACAGTTGTCTCCTTCCACTGGTGTAGGCGTGAGTTTGGTGAAAGTACATAACTCGAAACATTCCAGTTCACTGGCATTGTTCCCAAGTGTACAAGATGGCCGTATTCCACTCTGACTTTCATCAAAGTGATGGGGATTGGGAACAAAATTGGCAGCTTCCTGCCAATCCCAGGTGTGGTCTGCTGGTGGGTACTGGATACTGACAGGTGGTTGTGGTTGTGGAAGTTGTGGTTGTGGAGGCTGGTGTGGTGGGTGGGTGGGGGATGGTGGCTTTTGTTGTAGATCAGCTGAGGCAGCGGCGTGGGTGGCAGCACGGCCCACTGCTGGTGACTCACGGCTGGCACCACCACTACCACCACCATGCACATTTTCCATCCCAATTGCAACACTATCATCTTCATTTTCAGTCTGTTCCTGTTGTACAGCCACGGGTTGTACTCCTTCCCCTTGGAATAGCATATGGCACACTACCAGAGCACATATATCGTCGTATATACTGATGCTTCACTGGAGAATATTCCACTTCACTATCACCACTGGAACTGTTTTCAAGAGCTTGTAGTTCATATTCACTATCACTATCATCACCAATGCTCACATCTGAGTCCGGGATTTGGGAAAATAAGAGTTTCCTCTTTGATTCTGGTACAACTGAACATGAACAAGATGGCCCAGCAGCAGAGGTGGAAGGCTGAGGGTCGTCTGGGTTTTCCTCACTATTACCGGTATTATGGTCATTAGTTTTGGTCACAACCTCGCCAAAACCTTGAAACTCATCTTCACTGGCACTTCCATCTGTATTAGAACTGTCACTGGGGAACAAAAGTGTCCCAATTCGCCGAGGAGTGAGGAGCTTCTTACTGCGAGGCATGGTGAACAAGGTCTACTAAAATGGTGCTCCCACAATGTGCCACTGGGTCCCAGAATTTTTTCTACTGCACACACCGACCACACAGACCCATTCTCTCACATCTAGGCCTACCAGCTGTTTCCTGCTTAATTTGAAGCCGCTAGAATTTATGCGTACTAGTACGGCACCAACCCTGGCGTGCAAGCCGTACTAATATGGCACCAACCCTGAAAGGGTTAACTGAGTGTGAAAGACCTACTGAGGCTATTAACTTCTTCATGT